AACACTTCAGAAAAGAGTTGAAATTAAAATAAATCTTAAGTACACGCTGGATATTTTTATCACAATTATCATAAATTCTAAGTCATGGGGTGCCTGTGTGGTACAGTCAGTTAAGCATCTGACTGTGGATTTCAGCTCACATGATCTCACAGTTCATGGGTTTGAGCCCTACAACAGGTGCTGCGCTGACAGCACGGAGCCTACTTGGGATTCTCTGCCTCTCCCCCTCTCTCTGCTCCTCCCCCACTCACACTGTCTCTGTCTCTCTCAAAATAAATAAATAAATAATTGTAAAATAGTAAAATAAAAAAAATAAATTCTAAGTCAATAAACACAAAGAGCCTTTCTACCTAGGTAGAAAGATATTCTTCTTTTTCTCACCTGACATATCCCTCAGGCTCTTGACACAACCCAGGACCTAGGCAGACATATTTTATTTTCAACTACTCCCTCAAAGAGAATATGCTAGGAAACTAATTTGACAATAAATTTCATATAATAAAAATAAAATAAAATAAAATATTAAAAAATAAAAAATGGTAAAAAAAAAAAAAGAATATGCTAATTAATTCCTTGCAGGTCACCTTTTCCTTATCCAAGTTTTCCACTCTGTCTTTCACCTGTCAATGTAGGACACTTGTCAATTTCTTCTAGGAAGGGCCATCATAGACTGTTACTGGAAAAACCCAGCCCCGGTCATGACCCTATGCTATCCTCCTGGTCTAGACCTGCTCTCTGTTTTCGTATGGAAATAACTCAATGCTACATTTCTGTAGCAGGTTTCCTTTGCATTTGTCAGTCAGCTGCATTTACTATCTGCCTCTACTATCTTGATGAGGCCTGACCTGGTTTTATATTAATCTGTGATGTTAAACTATCAAACTAAATGGAACAAATTATCTACAGAATTACATGGCAGTTTCTTCCTGCCTCCTCCCTGCTAAGAGATTAAAGTAGGACCCCTGGGGGGCACCTGGGTGGCTCAGTCAGTTAGGCATCTGACTCTTGATCTCAGCTCAGGTCTAGATCTCAGGGTCATGAGTTCAAGCCCCACATTGGGCTCTGGGCTGGGTGGGGAGCCTACTTAAAAAAAAAAAGACATTTAAAGTAGGACCCCAGGTCCTAATTCATACCACAACAGAAAGACTGCTGATCTAGCCATTAGAGGTCATCCTCTAGATAATCCATCCCAATGCTGCAAGACCAAATCACAGCATACTCACATTTCACCCTGGGGCTCATTCTGAGCATTGGATATTAATTAAATAAGTTAATATTTGCTTTGTGAATTATAAAGTATTAGATAAATGTTGGTCTTAATTGTGGCTATTTTTATGTCTTTCCAGTCTTTCCCTATATCATAAGAAAGAAGTCATTAGTGAGTGAAATACCTGGATGTGGTCCCTGGTGGACCAGAATATTCCCCTGGAACTAAAACACAGATGCAGCTGCTCCAGTTAGCTCCAAGCTACATCTCCTCCCCAGGAGGCTCTTCTTCATCCCCCGACAACAGGAGGTTGCCCTGCTCTAGAAAAGGCAGTAGTGTCCACTGCAGCACATGTAGAATAAGGACAATAGTGGTCTGTGAGCACTCTGGAGTAGGGGAAGCCAGTAACATGGAGCCTCCATAAGAGAGAAGCATAAAGTCCACAGAGCTGACAGCTGACAGAAGAATTTAGTCTGGAGGTAAGAACAACCAGGAGAGGAGTTGACTCAAAGCCCAAAGCAGATCAGGCTCCCTTTCCACTGAATCTGAGTGTCTAGGGTGCATCTGGCTCAACACTACTCTCTGCCAACAGAGACAACCACCTCTGACCAACCTAAACAAATTCAGAATGGAGCTTGCCATATTTTTTAAATGTCTTGTGCTTATTCCAGTATGTTCCAATGAATGGGACCCATTATTTGCCAACTCCTGGAGCATCTAGGAAGGAACTTCATTTCCTCCCCTCTGATCCTGTCCAATGAGCCTCACTTTATTTTGATACCCCAATATCATGCTGTAAATAATAACAGTCCACCCCATAAGAATCACCTCTTTGAAACCAGCACAGGTAGGTGGGTATGGATTTTCCACCATCATCACCCCTTGGTCCTTGTTCTGCCCTCTGAGCACCTATGAGCTAACTTTAGTCCCTCTTCTTTATAAGAATCCTTCCGGGGGGCTGGGGAAGGAAGGAATTGGATGAAGGTGGTCAAAAGGTACAAAATCCAGCTATAAAATAAATAAGTCCTGGGGTGGGGGGGATCCTTCCAATACCTGAAAACAGCTATCATATTCTCCCATCATTTTGTCATTTCCAGAGTAAACATCTCCACATTCTTCACATGTTCCTCATACTTCACAGTTCTGAAGTCCCAATTCATAACACTCAACAAAATCTCAAATCATTTTCACATAAATGGCTACTTTTTAATTGATTGTTAAAGCCTACAAGCCGATTTTATATGTGCCCCTGTTAAATTTCATCTTGTTTTTAGTCTAGCATTTCAAAAGACAAGATTATTTTGAATTATAATTCTATCACCTATAATACTGGCTTCTTCACTCTGTTTTCATATCATCTGAAGTTTGATGAGCCATGCATATTTGCTGTTTATGGAAGTCACTGCCAAAAGAGGTAAAGACAAGAAGACAAAGCCTTCTCCTTTTTACTAGACATGTTTCTCCAGATTTTCAGAATCATTCATGAGAAATTTTGGTGTATAGTAGCCAAACTAAAAGTGTTATTTTTAAGCTCACAGTCATTATCTTTTCTATGAAGCTTTACTGAAATTAATATGTCCTTTTTCTACTCCTTTCTCCTGATCTACTAAATTATTAATACTACCATTAAGGGACATTATGTGAGGTTTGACATTATACTTAGTAGCATTATTTAGCTTCTGGTGATGTCTCCTTATAAGACTTCCACGTGCTCTATAAAGCATCTATTTAATAATTTTACCAGGGACCAAGGCCAAATTAACTGGTTAACAAGAGCAACAGTAACTTTTTTATCATAAGCATTGACTCAGAGACTTGACAAGACTTAAGAAGTTTTGGGTCTGTTGACTGGTTGGTTGTTTTGGTTTGACTAGTTTTTTAGTTTCTTCCCTTGCTCCATCTTTCTGCTAAACCTAGGATCTATTCCATTCTCAATTTAAATCTCTTTCTAGCTCTTTAAGAAGTCACTAGTATGCAAAAGATAAAAATATGTATCCAATACATTTGAAAATATTCTATTCCTTCTATGTCTGTATCCCCCATGTGACCAAATGTGTGTCTGCATGATATAAGCCCAAAACCAGAGGGAAAGGTAAGACCAGGGAAGGAATACAAAAACCATGTGTTCTTGATGCCATCTGCTAATGCGGCACATCATCTTTTTTTTTTTTTTTAATGTTTATTTATTTTGAGGAGGAGGGGCAGAGACAGAGGGAGAGAGAGAATCCAAAGCAGGCTCTGCACTATCAGTCCAGAGCCCAATGTGGGGCTCAATCTCACAAACTGTGAGATCATGACCTGAGCGAAAATCAAGAATCAGACCCTTAACCAATTGAACCACCCAGGTGCCCCTGGAATGTCATCTTTCTTAACTTCAAAAATGAGAAAACTCTCTATCATGTTGGGCTTTCTGGTTTCTTCCCCCTACCACACACACACACACACACACACACACACACACACACCCCTACTTGGCTTCCATCTCCAACTTTAATCATGGTTCCATCTCAAACTCTGAGCGACAATATACCAATATTCCCTCAGTTAGGAAAGAACTCAGAGATTCCCTCTCTTATTTTAGCAATCATTTAAATGCTTTTTTCCCTAGCCCAATCATTAATAATCAGATGCTGCAAGTTTTTTGTGGCAATTTATCATTGGAAAATTACTGTGATTAATTAATTTATTTATTCTTTTATTCATTCATTCTACAAATACTGATCAAGGTCTTCGTCTGTGTTTGGTGTTAGTGTAGTATTGTTAACGACTAAGAGAAGGAATCTTATTACAGGGTAGAAATGTCTAAATAACTGACATTAGGGGAGATAAATTGACCAAGTGACCTGTAGAGAGAAATAGGGCAGCAAGCCAAAAAAAAGGAAGTATTCTCAGCTTCCAATAAACTGATTAGAGTCTGAGCACAGTTTGAAAATGGCTTTACTTGTGAGCACTCTGGACTCTGAAAATGGCTTTACCAATGGTCACCAGGCCACTTTTCCAAGGAAAAGGAATGGCTTCCGAGGGGAGTGGAATCTAGGTTAATTCAGATCTTTCTAGATTGTATCTCACATAGAATAAATGCTATAAATTTCTCATCAAAATTTCCAAGTCTCATTTTCTTGGAAAGGGAATAACAGTATGAGATGAGGGGTTACTTCAGGAATGTGCATGACCTCAGAGTAGGACCACCTCCCCACTAAGTAATGGGTACTCCTCCCACCCCTCCAGAAGAGGTCACCAGGTGTGGTTCTGCTGTTGACGCTCAGCCGAGACTGTCAGTAAACAGCTCACTGATGACTGGAAGAGTCCTACGCTGCTCTCTGATACCGATATTTCTATCACTCAGGAAGGATTTGAGAAAGCACTATGGGATAGTAGACTATGGAAGGAGATTTGGAGTCAAGCAAACTTGGGTTCACATCATGACTCCATCATAATTGCCTTAAATAATTGACTTAATCCCACTGGGTCTCAGTTTCTCCTCTATATACAAGAGACAATAAGGGCTATCTTTAGTGCTTGCTGTGATGAATAAATAAATAAGCCAAGTATAGCGTGTGGTCCTAATAGGATCTTTGTTAACGTTAACCTTCTTCTAGGGGTGCCTGAGTGGCTCAGTTGGCTAAATGTCCGACTTCGGCTCAGGTCATGATCTTGCAGTCTGTGAGTTTGAACCCCGCATTAGGCTCTATGCTGACAGCTCAGAGCCTGGAGCCTGCTTTGGATTCTGTGTCTCCCTCTCTCTGCCCGTCCCCTGCTCATACTCTGCCTCTGTCTCTGTCTCTCTCAAAAATAAATAAACATTAAAAAAATTTAAAGTTAACCTTTTTCTCTTCTCTTGGGCCCAGATCTAGATGAGGAAGCAGTCCAGTGGTGATAGTGAAAACCAGACCACCTGGCTGATCCTGGTTGGCTTTGGGGAGCTGCAACACCTGGGCTTCCTCCCCTTCACCTTCTTTTTAGCCATCTATGTGGTAACAGTTGGGGGAAACACCCTCATCGTGCTGGCTGTGGCCTCCAGTCGGACACTCCACACACCCATGTACTTCTTCCTCTGCCACTTCTCCTTGCTGGAGATTGGCTACACCTCCAACATCATGCCTCAGCTGCTGCAGAGCTTCCTGAAAGGGAGGGAGGCCATCTCACTGGTCAGCTGTCTGGTCCAGTTCTACATGTTTGCCTCGCTGGCTGCAGTTGAGTGCCTCCTGCTATTTGCTATGTCCTATGACCGTTACCTGGCCATCTGCCACCCGCTTCGCTACCCTGTCCTGATGAGCCCATGGTTGTGTGGCTGCCTGGCTGCTGGAGTCTGGGTCAGTGGATTTTCTTTCTCTGCCTTCACTCTGGCCCTGGCAGCCCCTCTGACCCTCTGCCCTGGCAACAGGGAGATCGACCACTACTTCTGTGACTTTGCTCCAGTTGTAGGGCTGTTCTGTGGAGATGTGGGGGTTATGTGGGCAGCTGGAGTGAGCATCTCAGGCTTTCTGACACTGGTCCCCTTCCTGTTGATTGTGGCATCCTATGCCTTCATCTTAAGGACTGTGCTGCAAATACCTTCAGGCCATGGTAGACAGAAAGCTTTCTCCACCTGTTCCTCCCACCTCAGTGTGGTCGGGGTGTATTATGGCACTCTCATTGTGGTCTATGTAGCCCCAACAGACCACATGGCCCCCTTGCTCCGAAAGGCCTTCTCTGTCCTCTACACTGTATTCACCCCTATGGTCAACCCCATTATTTACAGCCTCAAGAACCAAGAGGTAAAGGGGGCCCTTCATAGGCTCTGGGGACAGCTCATCCCAAGTGATACCCCACTGAGAGGGAATAGGACAGCAAGCGACTTCTTCCTGGATTCCAGCTTAGCCCCCTCCTCAAAGTCTAGAGGACTAGAGACCACAGTGAAAAGATGAATACTGAGGGATTGAAAATAGATGTCTGACAAAATAACGTAACTTCATTTTTCCAGTTGGGATGGGGTAGGGATCAAAATCTCATGCCTTATACAGGGCCAAAATATTATAGACACTCCATAAATATTAGTTGACAAAAACGAACGAATGAATGAATATGGAAAAGAATGCAAGAAAGAGCAGAGAACAATACCAAGTGGGGAACATCTGCAAATTATTAACCTAAGATGGCAAGACTAAGGTTGGCAGATAGAAAAAGGAAGGGGGTAGGGAGATGGTAATGAGGACCACAATTAACATCTCCTGACATGCTTCAAATGAAATCTCAGAAACATAGACAGACTTGAGCGTAAAGTCTATGGAGCAGTGATGTAGGTAGTGATGGTGCGAGAGCCAGTTCCCCTGCATCCAGACAAGGCATCCCCTTGGGAGAGGAGGAGTCAGCCATTCATACCTACAGCCCAAGAGGCCAACTGGGCCACTGCTCTGAGAGTTCCCATTAGTCCTCCTGTTGTTGATGTCAGACAGGTAGGAAGTAGGGAAAAGGAAGGAGACAATTAAATGAGAAAAGAAAGACATAAATTAAACTCAACAAGAGAATTCTGTAGTTTTCCCTCTATCAGAAAATCTTCGAAACCTCTTAAAAATGACACCAAAAAATTCTAATTTTTTATTTGAATTGTATCAACATATTTCTCAAGGTATGGGATGTGGACCACCTGGTACCAGAATGATCTAGAGTAGCTGTTTACAAATGAAGACTTCTAGGCTCTTCATCAGACCTACAGAATCAGAATCTCTAGATGCGAGGCCCAGGGATCTGCATGTAACAAATGCCACAGGTGATTTTCGGTGTAGGGAAAGAGCATGGCTCTCGGGGGTGACAGGAATAATACCAGGAAAACTGACCAAAAAAAAAAAAAGGAATATAGTTCCCAGTTCCTCATAGATGTCGAGAGATGCAACCCTGAGTGATGGGTACCAGATAGGGAGATGTACAGAATGTAGAGGGCCAGCAAGAGGATCTGGAGGAAACCTGGGATAGCCAGCCCTGTCTGGGTGGAGTGGAAATACAGAGCAAGAAAAAACAAAGAGAAAATGTCCCTGCCTAGAAGGTTGCTTGGGAAGTGGTCAGAACCTAGGCTGTATATGGGTATTAAAAAATGTCTCTGTGATGTTTATTCTTTGCATTAAAGTCAAAAGTGAAATCCTGTGTTATAACGGTGTCTTGGAGGCCAGCACAGAATATACAGGATGCACATCAGGTTCCCCAAAGAACCCAGCAGCTTCCTCAGGATGCATGCCTCACGCGCCCAGAGGGGTTCCTTCACCTTCTGTGTGAGAGGCATTGAGAACAGAGTCAACCTGGGTGTAGACCCAAGTTGGGAATTGTCGTGGAGGCACGGGGAGGTGTGGGTCCCAAGGCCTGCGTAAAGCATGTGGCTGCCTTTACAATATCATTTCCAGTGTTTTGACAAAGTTCCAAGCCCTTCTCCTCACCTCCCCCACAACCATCACCTGACATCCCCTGCCACAAGCAGTCCTGTGCCTACTCCTGAAGCCAGAAGTTCCTAACGTGTCACCATTTGAATAACTGGTCAAATGCACATAGTACTGCGGTAGAGGAAAGAGGCACGCCTATCTGTGTTGATCTGCGCTTTCCCTCATACCAGCTTCAGCAAATTACTGCACCTCTTTGAGCCTCAGATTTCCGATCCGTGATATGAAACCAATAATAAATAAGACAGACACATACATACTTCACAGGGTTGTTGTGGCAATGAAACAAAATACATATAATAAAGTCCTCTATCTCTGTGTTTTACTTGGCCTGTGACACATTTTAACAAATATTAACATCCTCCCCTCACTCTCCCTTTCCTCAAGGGAAGTCAGGAGACACCCTGTCCCTTTGGGTCACATCACCGAGGACCAGCCCTTTCCTGGAGTGGAACCTGACTGCATAGACACATGAGGCACAGCTGCTCCTTCTCGTTACCTGGCATTAAAGGGTTGAGAATTCTGGGAGGACACCAGGTTATAAGAAAACTGGACCTAAATAGAAGAGAAACTCCAGAGGAGAGAGAAGGAAAGTAGAAAAGAAGAGAAGAGATGGGAGAGGAAGGAAGACAGGGAACAGGGAAATGACAAGATGGGAAGGGGAAGAGGAGAGACAATGGAAGGGAAAGTAAACAACAACAAGTGGAAGGGGTAAGAAAGGAAAGAAGTAGGAGAAGGAAAGGAGAAAGGAAGGGTTCCAGAAGCCATTCCCACATTCTTCCACTTGGACCACACGTTTCTGTTCCTAATGAAAAGGTAGGGGCACCTGGATGGCTCAGTCAGTTAATCATCAGACCAGATTTCAGCTCAGGTCTTGATCTCAGGGTGGTGAGTCCAGTCCCGGTGTTGACCCTGTGCTGGGCGTGAAGACTGCTTTAAAAAAAAAAAAAAAAAAAAAAAAAAAGGAAGCAGATTGGGTTTTTAATGGATTGCATTAAAATGTTTCAGTTATTAATAGGACTTCTGTTCAATATTGCACTGTAAGTCCATGCTTTGAGATACCCTACATAAAGCAAGCACACAAAAATAAATGAAAAAATGAAAAGGAAAAAGTGTAAAAGGCATATAATAGCTCAAAAACAAAATAGGGGCACCTGGGTGGCTCAGTCGGTTAAGCCTACTTTGGCTCAAGTCATGATCTCACGGTTTGTGGGTCCAAGCCCCATGCCAAGCTCTGTGCTGACAGCTAGGAACCAGGAGCCCGCTTCGGATTCTATGTCTCCCTCTTTCTCTGCCCCTCCTGCACTTGCGATCTGTCTGTCTCTCTCAAAATAATAAGTAAACATTAAAAAATAAATAGGTTTTAAAAATAAATTAAATAAATAAATAAATAAATAAATAAATAAATAAATATCTCCAGGGGCGCCTGGGTGGCTCCGTCAGTTGAGCATCCAACTTTGGCTCAGGTCATGGTCTCACAGTTTTGTGAGTTCGAGCCCAGCATCCCTGTCAGCGCAAAACCTGCTTCAGACCCTCTGTTCCCCTCACTCTCTGCCCCTTCCCCTTGTGTGCCCTATTTCTCTCTCAAAACTAAAATAAACTTTTTTTAATAAACAGATAAATAAATAACATAAACTTTTTTTTTTATTTTAATAAATAAATAAATAAAATCTCCATGGACCACAAATATAAGGAAACTAATAAAAGCTGTGAGTAGGGCTGAAGCTGAAGACCTTATAGCAAGAGGCAGCTATAAGTTCAGCTCCTGCAGGTTAACAGAGACCAAAATTTCTCCACTTGCAGTAGGAACTGGAGCCAAAGTCACTCTAGAAAGGAGGGGCTGGGAACAGGGTCTCTTTTTATTAAAGAGAGATGGGAAAAACTGCTGCCTGCTCCTGTCTGAGGCAAAAGCTTATCCAGAGCACATCTGAGGAGGCGAGAGAGTACATAGCTTAATGACCAGGAATTGAGAGTGTGTACGTGTGTTTTCACACTCAAAATGAGTCTGAGATCCAACATTATAAAAGACTTGGAAAAAAACCTCAGTCCACAAAATGGCCAAAAAATCAGCAGTTGGAAGATAAATCTACACTAGAGAATATTAAAAAATCTCAAGTCTGAAAGACAAGTACCATATGATTTCACTCATATGTATAATCTAAAAAAAAAAAAAAAAAAGAACAAAAAACGCAGAAAGAGACCCATAAATAACAGAAAACAAACTGATGGTTGCCAGAAGGAGAGGAGTAGGGGAATGATCTCAGTTTGTGGGTTGGAGCCCCCACATCAGGCTCACTGCTGTCAGTGCAGAGCCCACTTCAAACCCTCCATCCCCCTCTCTCTCTGCCCCTCCCCAGCTTGTGCTCACACACTCTCCCTCTCTCTCTCTCAAAAATAAATAAACATTAAGAAAAAAAAATTTTTAAAGAAAGTACTGATACAGTGATAATTCTTCCTTCACAACGTCTATCCATCTAACTGAAATCAAGGCCTTGTGCTCTAATAAAAATAATCAGCTTTTTTCTTTTCAAAATTGTTTTGATGTTTATTTTTGAGAGAGAGAGAGAGAGAGAGAGAGAGAGGAGAGGTGAGAGAGAAAGAGAGAAGGAGACACAGAATCTGAAGCAGGCTCCAAGCTCTGAGCTCTGAGCTGTCAGCACAGGGCCCGATGCAGGGCTAGAACTCATGGACCGCGAGATCATGACCTGAGCCAAAATCAGGCGCTTAACCGACTGAGCCACCCAGGCACCCCAGCTTTTTTCTAACCATGTGTATCTCCTCTTAGTTCTGTTTCTCTAGAGAACACTGACTAATACAAGATGTTTGACAATCACTGATTACATAGATACTAGAGAGAATTCAAGTAGAGTTGGAGGTTTAGATCTGATAACTTCTTTCAGACACAGAGATATTATGAACTTAGGTTCTAGTAGTCTCCTGTTCAACTTATAGTTTACTGATTGCTGATGCCAGAAGATCCTCAATTTCTCCAAACTCAGTGATGCCAATCATGGATTCCCCCCACTAGACTGAGTAGGAAAATACCTTCAGCCAAGCACAGATAATGAGCAAAAGTTCAGCAAAGCACACAGGGACAACCCCCTCTGGGGACATTCCAACAAAAGCACAAGGCTTGAAAATCATACTGGTGGGGCACTTGGGTGGTTCAGTCAGTTGAGCATCTGGCTCTTGATTTCAGCTCAGGTCATGATCCCAGAGTCAAGGGATCGAGCCCTGAGTCAGTTCCACGCTGAGCATGCAACCTGCTTGAGATTCTCTCTCTGTGTCCCTCTGCCCCTCTCCGACTTACACATTCTCTCAAAAAAGGAAAGCAAAGGCAAGGCAAGGCACGGCAAGGCAAGGAAAAGAAAAAGAAAAAAAGAAAACCATACTTTTTCCTACCAACTCTCATCTCTCCCCATTTTACCTCCTCATGCATTTGCCCAAATACAGGACCCACCCCCACCAAAATGAGACTTTATTCCTGGTATTATTCTTGGTTACGTCCCCTTCCCTGAAGTTCACCCTGGCAGGGCCAGTTTGGGGAATTAGCCTTGGGCAACCATATCCTTCCTGGCAGAGCTGCCAGCATTATTGCCCAATCAGAGACATCTTTGTGCCCGTAGGGTATAAGAGACAACAGCATCCTGGACATAGCAGACTGGGGTTCCACCAGCTACAGAAATGAGGTCCATTCTGATCCTCTCCCTCCTCGGCTGCTTCTTTGCAGCATATGAGGCCAAAATCTTCTCCAAGTGTGAGCTGGCCCGCAAGCTGAAGGCAGAGGGAATGGATGGCTTCCATGGCTACAGCCTGGCAAACTGTGAGTATGAACCATCTATCATTCTATCTCTGCTCAAAGAGGCCTTCTTCCCCAACCAAACAATCTTTCCCTTTTCACCTTGTGATTTACTCATTTACTCATTTGCTCTCTTGCACTCCCCGAATGCTCCTCTTGTCTCCACCTCTGCTGCCTTGTCATTCCTATCAGGATCTCCGTTTCTCTCTTTCCACCAGGGATTATTTGATCTGTAATAGATTTTCTTCTGCTGTTCCCCGAAATCACCTTCCCACCCAGTGCCCTTGAATACTTCCTTGGACCCATCCAAAAACTCACCTAACCACTTGCAAGTTTGCTCCCATCACCTTGGCTTTCATCTGCATCCTTTTTAGTCCAGGTCCCTGCAGCAGAGCTGGTGCTGCCTTCCACCCTCTCCCCTGCCCTTTTGTCCACCAAAAACTAACCTCTGCTGAGTTTGTCTAAAGTCTGTTCTATCCATGTCACAAGAGAGTTGGAAGGGAATTGTGAGAACAGAAGGGGAGACGATGACAAAGTGCAAGAAGGATTGAGAATCTTGGTCACCCATCCCATTAGGCACAACACATAAAGTTATTTCAATTTCCCTTGGATATCTTCATTTTTCTTCATGCCAAACATCCTTTCCTGTCCCCCCCCCAAAGGATAGCTTTTTTGGGCTCCCTTTCTAGGATGCCCCTCCATTACTTCTCCACCTCTTCCCTTCCATACACCTGGGGATAGAAGGCAAAAAGTAAATATACAAGGCAAGAGTTAGATATTTGGCTGGGAGATGAGGCTGGAAATGTAGACTGGGAAACAGACTGTGATTGATTGATTAATGGGCATCCCAAATGCATTTATTTAACAAATTGTTATTACATACTTATCATGGGCTAATTATTGCTTAGGACCAGGAATACACAATGGATTATAAATATAAATCTAGGGGTGTCTGGGTAGCTCAGTCAGTCAAGTGTCTGACTCTTAATCTCAGCTCAGGTCTTGATCTCAGGGTCGTGATTTCAGGCCCCACGTTGGATTCCATGGTGGGTGTGAGCCTACTTAAAGTGTGTGTGTGTGTGTGTGTGTGTGTGTGTGTGTGTGTGTGTACACACATACATATAAATATAACATTGAGGACCTCATAGTCTCTTCATTTCAGTCTTAGGGGACTTTATGGCAGTCCTAGTACAGCAGAAGTTGTGTCTCATCACGAAACAATCCTCCTTTTCTAGCCACACCTTTTGTTCTCTCTGACACAGGGGTCTGCATGGCTGAGCATGAGAGTAACTTCAACACCCGGGCCTTCAATGGGAAAAATGACAATGGCAGCAGTGACTATGGGATCTTCCAGATCAACAGCAAGTGGTGGTGCAAAAATAACTCCTCCCCTTCAGCAAATGCCTGCAACACAATGTGCAGTAGTAAGGACACCTTCCCCTCTGAGGGCTGGTTGACATGGGGCAGGTGCACTGCTCCCTAACACCTGACCCTTGGCCAGTGCTGTAGAAGTTGAGGATAGGGAAGAAAGGGCCCCAAACAGTCTTCCACAGAGCTCTTCCTGCCAGAAAGGAGGAAGAAAGATACAATGACCTCTGACTAAGCCTCACCTTCCTGGGCTCCCATCCCTCAATACATGGCATCCTGTTCCTCGTACACACATGACTGTATCACCCGTCCACATACCCCACATAGCACTCTGGACACACTAAGTTTTTCCTGAAAACAGAGGTTCTCCCGGGACCCTCATCTATGCCCTGGGTGCCCTCCAGAAGGAACAATGCTCAGAGGCAGATTCAAAGCAAGGCAAGAAAACCCAGGCAAACAGAAGGCAAACCCACAGAAGAGCTCCAGAGATAGAGGGTTTCTGACTCCGGCTCCATTTCCTATAGGAATTCCTCCCAAAAACTCATTGATTAATGAAACAGGAAAAGGGGTTTTTCCCTCCCTGCTCAGCCACTTTTCCTTCTAGGGTTTCTGGATGACAACATCAGTGATGACATCGCCTGTGCCAAGAGGGTCGTGAAAGATCCTAATGGGATGTCTGCCTGGTAAGCAGAACATGCAGGGCAATGATGAGCCACGCTGCCAGGGATGGACCCAGACATTATTCGGGATGCTGATAAAATAAGCAGCATCTCTGCCATAGGATTCTCCCTGGGCTTTGTAGGGAGCTGAGACTCTTCTCCCGATGTGAAATGAGGCAGAGTAATACCATGATGTGCTCACCCCATGCATCTCTGTGGCACATGTTCTTAGACGGGCAAACCCTCCCTATTGAGCCTCTCCCACAGTATAAACTGAGTCCAGACTGCAGACCCTACATCCCCTCTCGGCTGAGCCACTATATACTCCTGCCCCTGCCTCTGATCTATGCTGTATTTCTCTATTCTCAGGGTGGCCTGGGTAAGACACTGCAGAAACAAGGATTTGTCCAGATATCTAGCCAGTTGTAATCTGTGAGACTGTCATTGAATATGGCTCCTGGAGAAAGTGGCCAAGTTCTTGGAAACTCTGAATTTCTGTCCCCCCTCCCCCATCTCTGCCTCCAAAATAAAAGTTACTCAAGTTCAGCTGTCTTAAGTATCACGTTTAAGGACTGGGTTATGATGAGACTCGCTACCTGCTATAGACAGCTGAAGATCCTCATCTCTCCAAGCCCATCACTGAAGTTCCCTGTATCTCCTCTGGAAAGCCAGTTAAGGAAAATCCTTTCCTGAGAACTGCTTGAGACTGAAACTGACAGTTGAATATAGCATTCTTGATGTAAGCTCTTATGAAATTCATTAGGTAGAGGTGGCTGATATTATTCTCCATCACCATGAAGGAGAGTTCAAGACGAAAGAGAAGAAAATTGTGGGAAACATTCAGTTTAGACATAGAGAAGGACTGGCAGAATGTCAGGATGATTATGTTGGCTAAGGTAAATGACTAAGCTGCTATAACAGAACCCCAAAAACATGGCATTCTCACAAAACAGTCCAAGGTTTTGTGGACAAGCTCCTTTGTCCAACCCAGACATTCAGAAATTCAGATTCCTTCCATCTTGCACTTCCACCACCCTTTAAAGCAGTGCTGCTCAAAGTGCGGTCCACAGACCAACAGCATCAACAATATCTGGATACTTGTTAAAAATGTAAATTCTTAGGGTGCCTGGGTGGCTCAGTCATTGAAGCATCCAACTCTTGATTTCAGCTCAGGTCATGATGTCCCGGTTTGTGAAATTTAGCCCCACATTAGGCTCTGAGCTGACAGTGTGGAGATTGCTTGTGATTCTTACACTACCTTTCTTTCTGGCTCTCCCCTGCCTGTGAAAGGGCTCTCTCCCTCTCTCAAAATAAATAAATAAAACTTTTTTTAAAAAAGCAAATTATTGGGCCCACAGTAGACCTACTGAATCACTGTTTTAATCTCTGTGGTTTTTTAATTTTTTTATTTTTATTTTTTGAGAGAGAGAGAGAGACAGACAGTGCATGCAAGTGGGGGAGGGAGAAGGAGGGAGAGAATCTTAAACAGGCTCCATACTCAGCACAGAGCCCTACATGGGGCTCAATCTCACAACTGTGAGATAACGACCTGAGCCAAAATCAAGAGTCAGAAACTCAACCAACTGAGCTGCTCAGGCACCCCTTAATCTGTTTTAATGAGCTCTCCAGATGTTACTTATGCATTAAAAAAGAAATTGAGAAGCACTGCCCTAGGGTATTGTCCTACAAGGACAAAGCTAGATTGAAGACACTCCATGCTCTAAACTGAGGATGGGGAGTAAGTTTGGAGAAACATACATGCAATGTTTTAAGGTCCAGGCCTGAAGGAGGCACATGTCACTTCCATTAATACTCCAAAGACAGAATATAATCACCAGCCATTCCCAGATGCAAGGGGGCTTAGGAAACAGTACCAGCTAGACAGCCTGGGGCCTGTTAATAATACTATTATTACAGGAAAAAGGGGAAATGGATTTGGATGGACAACTAGTAGTTTCTGCCACAGTAATTAATAAATCATTAAGAAAGTAAATCACAATCACATTCCTATGGTATAAATGTTTTCATATAACGGTATTTTTGTGCCCCACCATCCGTTTACATATATCTTGTGGGCAAGGTTCTTCCACCTCTGGATAAAAACTCAGGCAGGTACCATGACTTTCATGGTCACCCTCAGATAATGAGAGCACACCAACTCTGTCCAAGGAATTTTCCCCTCCTCTCTCCAGCTCTTTTCTTGGCATCTCCAACATCTTTTATAGACTGTCAATGGAAGATTCAACTAAAGATGCAAAACAGATTCCCACAATCTCTTTTTTCAATATTTGTAGTCTCGCAACCATCCAAGCACCCTGTCCCTTCCTGTACTAGAATGAATGGTTATTCCCAATTCCTTACCCCCTCTGTCATGGGATATTCCAGAGCACTACAATGGACAGAGTACCCACCCACCACATGGATGTTGAACTTGGTCATGTGATTTGCTTTGCCAATAGAATGTTAGCCGATGTGACACAAGTAGAAACTAAAAATGTGATTTCATGGTTTCATCTGACCCCTTGTGCTCCTGTGATTGCCCGACAAGAGCATGCCCCAGGTACTCACTGTCCCCTCACCCCCACCTGGGCTCCAGAATGAAACATGTGGAACAGACTTGAAACCAGCCCAAATCCTGGTTCCTAGCGTCCCCTCCCCCTCCACTCAATCAAAAATCCACCAGACCCAGGAGCAGGAAAAAAAAAAATGCTGTTATAAGCCACTGAGTTTTGAGGTGGTTTGAGACATAACAACAACAACAACAACAACAACAACAACAACAACAACAAACTAATACTCTTTCCCACCCTTGTGTCTTCTCAGAGTCATCCCCTTTACATGACCACCACAATCCTACCCCTCACTTAGATTACCAGCAGGACTCTTTACTGTGAGGATACAGATGCTATACTTCCCTTGATGGATTTGTATTTAGTTAAAATATATTTACTGAGCCTTTACTTTGTGGTTAGTTGCTCTGAAAAGAGGTTTAGATGAGGGCCTTGCCCTTTTCCATATTGCAAACCCAGGGTGGAAATCTAAATTCCCTACCCAGAATAATCCAACCAGTAACTAATATAAATGGGCCCTCAATCAAAATCTAATATAGTTCCTTTCCTCTCCCTGCATAAACCAATGATGGGAGTGTATACATAGTTTTTGTAAATGTTGGTTAGGCATTTGTGAAACAAAAAAATTTTGTCTCCTCTGGGATGTTTATTTTTATTCACCCCTGAAAATGCAACAATGTTCTTTTTAATTCTATAAAAATCATCTGAAGAATAGCTGAGGCAATGTAAAGAAAAACAAAACCAGAAGACTCACACTACCAAATTTCAAGACCTATTACAAAACTATAGTAATTATGATAGCAGATAGCAGGGGTACAGATAGGCAAATAGATTAGTGGGACAGAATGATGACTCTCACAAACCTGGCCAACTGATAGGACAAAGGTATTGCAGTGGGGAAAGGATGGTTTGTTTGTTTTTTTTTTTAATTTTTTTTTCAACGTTTTTATTTATTTTTGGGACAGAGAGAGACAGAGCATGAACGGGGGAGGGGCAGAGAGAGAGGGAGACACAGAATCGGAAACAGGCTCCAGGCTCCGAGCCACCAGCCCAGAGCCCGACGCGGGGCTCGAACTCACGGACGCGAGATCGTGACCTGGCTGAAGTCGGACGCTTAACCGACTGCGCCACCCAGGCGCCCCAAGGATGGTATTTTTAATAAATGGTGCTGAATCAACTGGCTATCCATATGGCTGCTCTTATTATCTTTTATTCATCTCAGAGCTCTCTGTGGTACTAGAAGAAGGAACAGACACACATCTATGATTCTAACCAGCTACGAACTTTTCCACTCATTTAATAAATAAATATTTAGGGACGCCTGGGTGGCTCAGTCAGTTGAGCGTCTGACTTCGGCTCAGGTCATGATCTCACCATTCATGAGTTCAAGTCCCACGTGGGGCTCTGTGCTGACAGCTCGGGAGCCTGGAGCCTGCTTCAGATTCTGTCTCCCTCTCTCTCTGCCCCTCCCTGCTCAAGCTCTGTCTGTCTGTCTGTCTGTCTGTCTCTCTCTCTCTCAAATAAACTTAAAAAAATTTTTTTTAATTTAAAAAAATAAACATTTAACAGAAAGCAACAGAAGAGGTAATAGTAGACTTTTTTCACCTTCCCAAGATCCAGATATAAACTGGACTTTGAAATATTTTGCCTCAGAGCTGCAGAATCAAACAAAACATTGGCCCTAAAACCTCATCCTTTCGTTTCGTTTTGTTTTGTTTTGTTTTGTTTTGTTTTGTTTTGTCTTGTTTTGTTTTTTTTCTTTTTTGCTACACCAAAGGAAGCTGCACTGGAAAGAAAGGCAAGCAAACATTTCACCCCACAGCAGAGAAGATCCCAGGATAGAGAACACCCAGCCATGGAGTTAGCAGAGTTCTTCTCTGGTGGGAAGAACTCATGCCACACACAATTAATGCTCTGATCTCGTACTGTATCATTTTACTCAAAACCAATAAGCTTCCTTTTCTCCAGAAAAAGCAGAATGAGTTTGTTGTTCACATTTTTAGAAATCCTTATTTGAGCAATACAACCTTGCGGTTTGAAGGGAGGAAAAGAAAAGTTTGGACATCAGGGTTACAAATCCTCTCTGACAGGTATGGCCAAGAGTAGGAGAACTTTGAACAGACATTTCACCAAAGAAGATACATGGATGGCAAATAAGCATCTGATGAAAAGATGACCAACGTCATTAATCACAAGTGTAAAGCTAACAAAAACAACGAGATACCACTATACACTCATTAGAATGGCTAAAATGGAAAAGACTGACCATACCAAGGGTTGTTGACGAGGATGCGGAGGAATAAACTCTCATGCACCACTAACGAGAATATAAAATGATAAAACCATTTTGGCAAACGACGTTTTAGTTTGATCCAGCCATCACACTCATGTGTTTACCCAAGAATAAAGGAAGTGTATGTGCATACAAATGCATGTACAAAAGTGTCCATAAATGCCTTATTTGTAAAAGCCAAATTCTGGAAATAAGCCAAATGTCCATCAACGTATAAGGAATAAAGAAATTGCAATATATCCATGTAAGGGGACACTACTCAGCAATAAAAAGGAACTATTGATACACACAATGTGATTAAAGCTCAAAATAATTACGCTAAATGAAAGAAGTCAGGCCAAAAAAGAGTATATAATCCCATTTATACAAATTTATATAATTCCATTTATATAAAACTCTAGAAAGTGCAAACTAATCTATAGTGACAGAAAGCAGATTGGTGGTTGCTTTGGAAAAGGGATAGAAGGAATGTGGGGGAGGGGCACCTGGGTGGCTCAGCAGGTTAAGCATCTGACTTCAGCTCAGGTCAATATCTCATGGTTTGTAGGTTTGAGACTTGCATCGGAGTCTGCTTTGGATTCTGTCTCCCTCTCTCTCTGCCTCTCCTCTGCTAGCATTCTCTCTCTCAAAAATAAACATTAAAAAAAAAAAAAAAAGGAAGAAATGTAGGGGAGACACTACACAAAGACCCAAAAATGTTTTCAGAGGAATGGATATGTTTACTATCTTTATTGTGATGAGTTTATTATTATTCATGAGTTTATACATATGTCAAAATGTATATTTTGGCAAATTGTATACTTTATGTACAGTTTATTCTATATCAATTATGCTTCAATAAAGCTGTTTTAATTTTTTTTTTTAACGTTTATTTATTTTTGAGACGGAGAGAGACAGAGCATGAACGGGGGAGGGTCAGAGAGAGGGAGACACAGAATCTGAAACAGGCTCCAGGCTCTGAGCTGTCAGCACAGAGCCCAACACGGGGCTCGAACTCACGGACCGCGAAATCATGACCTGAGCCGAAGTCGGCCGCTTAACCGACTGAGCCACCCAGGCGCCCCAAAGCTGTTTTAAAAAAGAGGGCCCAGTCGGTTAAGCCACTGCCTCTTGATTTAGGCTCAGGTCACGATCTTAATCGTTCATGAGTTCGAGCCCTGCGTTGGACAGTGACAGTGCACAGCCTGTTTGGGATTCTCTCTCTCTTCCCCTCTCTCTCTGCACTTCCACTGCTCTTGCACTCTCTCTCCCTCTCAAAATAAATAAATAAACTTTAAAAAAAAGAAAAGAAAAACTGTTAAGAGTCTACC